CGTTGGTGGGGGCCGCTTTGACTCCGGAACTGTGCCTTCGGGTATAGGTTCAGGGGCCACAGACTTTTTGTCAGGATTGTCTGTGGCTACGGGGATTAGTGACACTTGAGTTCACTAATCCTGGTGTCAGCGCGGGGTCTGTTTTCCCACCCTCACAGGCTTCTGGCTCTGGGACTTCCGTCCCAATCCAGATTTCCCAGTGCAGGGTTTCCCAGGGGGTTTTCCTCCAAGGGTTTGGGGCTTCAGGCCAGGAGTCCGGTTTCCGGTCTCCCTTTCCCCCGGGCTCAGGGAGTAGGGGTGCCTGCGGGCACTTATTCCTGGGTCGCCCAGGCCAACCTGCGGATGGTTTTGGGTACCAACAGTTACTCAGCAGTTACGGGCTTAGCCTGTACATGTCTGGGTTTCCACCTGGTGGGAGTGGCGGTTCATCCTGGTCCTTTGGACAGGATGTCCAGCCCCAGACTCAGGCAGGCCATCTTGGCCAGTTCTGGGGTCACTCCCGGCCCGCTGGACCGTTCCCATTCCCTCAGGGGTTTGGGTTTTTACCCCATGGGTCTTCACTCGTGGAACCCATAGGGGTTGGTCTCTCCTCTAGGAGATGTTATAGCAGTGCGGAATCCCCCCAATGTTCTGCTACTTCGGGGGCCTTGTTGGCCGGTCCTATAAAGGTTTGCCAGACCTTAAGGACTTCCGCCTCCAGCGCGGACCCGTCGGTCTCCTGTTCCCAGGGGTCGGCTTCGGGTCTCCGACCCAAGCCTACAGCTACAGCTGTTGGTCGCGCTGCGTCCAAATGCCATAAAGAGGAGTTCCCCTCTGCGGAGATGGCTCCTCTGGCGGCCCCTGTTCCTCCCAAGGTGACTTCGGTCTCTATTGAGGAGGAGATGGACATCGAGGGTGCGGGCTCGGCAGAGGAAGACGATGTCATTCATCTTTCTCCTGGGCCAAGAGGGTTCACAAGGGGAAGATGGCCCTGAGACTGCTGAAGCTGAGGCTCAGCATGTGCTTTCTGGGATGCGGGTCCTCCGGGCCAACATCTCCCGGATTCTCAGGGCGGAGGTTTGCCCACCGCCTCAGCATCGTCGGCGCCTGAATCCACCATCCTTCTGGGTTCCCTGGTGGCTCCTCGGGCTTCCGTTCGCTCAGATCGGTCTCTGCCAGAAGGCAATATCATGTCTTCGGTTCTGGCCACGGCCCGGGCTCCGGTTTTAGAGAAGGACTCCTTCTCTACCCGTGCTCTCGGGTTTGTCGGTCTGCAGCTCAGTGTTGGTGAATTGTCGGAGGCTTCAGCTTCCGACTATGCCACACATGATGGGCAGCTGGCCTCTCAACCAGCACAGCTGGAGTTGAGACAGCTGGCTGCCTGGCCCGGCAAATCAGTGGACCAGGTGGTGCTCGATCCCAAAGAGCACCACAGGATGGAGAGAATGTTGCACCTCTCCATCCAAGTTCTGTCATACATAGACTTCCTGACAGTTTGTCTATACAGGGTATCCGATTTGCCTGAGTGTCGGTTATCCGAGACAGAACAGCCGACATACAGGACACGGCAGCCTTGCAGGTTCTCTGCTCGTCAATGCCGTGTTGGCTAGGCAGTTTTCAGTTCTGAAATTCCGCCCAGTCCAGTAACCCTACCGTTTCCGCTTGTTGAATGCCCCCTTCTAGGGCTCTACCCTGTTCAGGGGAGCTCTTCCTTGGGTTCAGAAGGATATGAAGGAGGACTCGGTCGCCTCAGCACTTCTGGTGAAGAGGTTTCAGGCTGAGAAGGCCAGTGCCTCGCAGGGGTCAGTGCCTCCTAAGAAGAAGGCGAAGTCTTCGGCTGCTCAGTTTTCTGCACAGCCCAAGTCCCAACCTCACTTCAACGGCAACAAGGGGAAGGGTAGGAAGGGTAAGAAACCTCCTGGGGGCAAGAAGAAGGGTTCCTGACTATTTCTGCTTCTTGGCCGCGAAAGGCGAAGGGTATGGCCGGGTGGACGGTGGTTCTCCTTTCCCGGGCTCATGTCCTTCTCCTGCAGGCTCAGGCTCCGGGTGGGCAGACGATTCTCTGGTCTGGCAGGGGCTCGATCTGCCCCATCCGGAACTCCCTGTGGGCGGACGTCTCTCTGCTTTCCTTTCCTAGTGGCAGGATATTACAGAGGACGCTTGGGCTTTTGTCGGTGGTCAGGGAGGGTCTAGGTATTCCCCTTCTTCAGGATTCGTCCCTCACCTCCTGGCCGTTTTTGTTTCTTTCCTCCTCCCGGGGATTCAGAAAGGGCACGGGTGCTCCAGGAGGAAGTAGGGACCATGCTGCCAAGGCAGAGATGCCCTTGGGGCTCACGACAGCTCCTTTGGTGTTCACCAAGTTGCTGCTGGTGTTTCCTTCACTCCTGCAGAATAGACGTCCACATCTATTTCGACGACTCCCTCATGCCTCTTTTGGTGTGGGAATCGTTAGTGAAGGACACTCGTCTGGTCCTGAAACTCTTGCTCAGAGTCGGCTTCATTCCTTCCAGAGAGAAGTCAGAGGTTCCTTCATATTAGGACTTCTTCTTCCTGGGGAACCATTTTGACATGGTTCGGGGCTTAGCCCTTCCACCTCTGGAGAAGTTTGAGAAGGTCAGGGCTCTGGCTCTGACTTTCATCACTTGGTCACTTGTCCAGGTACATTGGTTCCTCAGTTTTCTGGGGTATCTCAACTCCTTGGCATATGTGGTCCCCCTAGGGAGGATTCACATCGGACCTCTCCAGATGTTCCTCCTGTCTGACTGGGTTCCGTCATCCAGGAGGCCTGGATCCCGCTTACCCAGTCGGTCAGGGAGTTCTCTTGCTGGTGGACCATTCAGGAGAACGTTTTCCACGGGGTACCTCTGACCAAGCCTATCCCCTCTATGATCCTGTTCATGGACGCGTTCATGACAGGAATGTGAGCTTACCTCGATGGGGGAGTGGTCTGGCGAATAACTCTCGGAGCACATCAGTGTACTCGAGATGAGACTGTTCATTTGGCTCTGCAGTCCTTTAGGGGTATCCTGCAGTCCAAAGTGTGGCTACCGACAACAGTTGTCGCGTATCTGGAGAGACAGGGGCCACCAGGTCTCATGTCCTGTGTGCCCTCTCCATCCACATCCATCTTCTCTGCCAGGACATGCAGTTGACCATAGCGGTCAAGCATCTTTCTGGCAGGCTGAGTGTGTTGGTGGCCACTCTCCAGGCGCCATCAGCCGGTGTTGACGGAATGGCAGCTGTGTCCCTTGATTTTCAAGGGGAATTGTCAGGCGTGGGACAGACCTATTATAGACCTGTTTGCCACTTCCCTGAACAACCAGCTGCTAACCTTCGTCTCCCCGGTCCCAGACCGTAAGGCGTGGGCTGTGGACGCCCTTTCTCTGGAATAGGAAGGGACGTATGCATATGCATTCCCTCCCTTCAACCTGGTGGGCAGGGTTCTACAGAAGTTCTGGGAGCATCACTGCTCCTTACTTCTGAGAGCCCCTCTGTGGCCGAGGCAAGCTTGGTTTCAGGAGCTCTTGTCGTTTCTGGTGGAGGAGCCCTTGGCTCTCCCCACCAGACCGAATCTCCTTCGCCAGCCTTGGCCCAGAACGACACACTCTTGACCAGAGATCCTCCACCTTCACGCGCTGAGGCTATCTCTGGAAGCCACGCCAAGGCAGGCTTTTCTCAAGAGGTGTCCGATTGCATTGAGCAATCAATCAGGGCTTCCTCTTCTGCCGTCTACCAGTCACGTTGGATGATCTTCTGTGATTGGTGTGTCGGCAAGGAAGCTTATTCATTCGAAGCCTCTGCATTTGATTGCGGAATTCCTAATCTCTCTGTTTAGGTACCGCTATCTGCCACCTGGCACTATTGCTGGCTATCGTACAGCTATTGCCAGAGTTCTTGCTTGTTATGGCAGGAAGGAGATCGGTTAGTCCTCCTCTCTTTCTGCCCTAATCAGAGGCTTTGCTATGAATAGAGTTGTTTTTAGCGAAGAATCAGGTTCCGGGGTTCTCGCACGATCCCATCAGGATCCTGGCTGTGACTAGCTCGGAGGAGCGAGATAGGTTGCTTTGTCCTTGTCGGGCTCTTAGGTTTTATCTTGATAAAACCAGGGGGGGCGGGGCTCTCGATCCCGTCTGTTTTGCCCATTAAACAGGGGCAACGAGATATCTCCTCCCAGTCGGTTTCCAGGTGGGTTTGCCAGGTGATTTAGTATGCTTACGAGCATTTTGATGATCTGGCTCGGGCGAGAGTGAAAGCGCGGTCTCACGAGGTCAGGGCCCTTGCTTCATCCTGGGCCCTTCTCTCAATGAGTCCTCCTTTCAGGAGGTCATGTCTGCAGTATTCTGGCAGGGCAGGGATACCTTAACAGATTTTTATCTGTGATCCCTAGCTTCCCACTCAGAAGGCCTGTATCATTGGGACCTTTGGTGGTGGCATAGTCAGTGGCTGGGCCTCCTCGTTAGCCCCGGGCCATGTCTTTCCGTACGGCGGCATGTGGGTACACCTGCTCTTTCACAGAGAGGTCCCTTCCTTCACTTTAGCACTCTGTTCTCCCTCCCTACTACTTTGGTTGTGCTGAAGGGGCTGCCTGGCTTCTAGTCACCACTACGGTAAGACGAATTCGCATACTAAAGTTATGGTAATTATTACTGAAATGAAATTGAGGTTTTTTAATGTAAAACCAATTTTCATGATGTAATACTTACCATAACTTTATGGAGTCCCACCCTATCCTCCCCTCTTCCTTATCTGCCTGGCTGCCCCTCTGTGGGGTTTACGCCATAAAGGTTATTAGAGGAAGGGAGATCACTCTGCGTTCCTGTCGTGATGGCTCATGGATCGTAGGGAGGGCGGGATTGTTTTTCTTTTGAATCTTTTGTTGTTGGGATACAAAGATGGGTGTAGGTACTGTATTTGCATACTAAAGTTATGGTAAGTATTACATCATGAAAATTGGTTTTACATTAAAAAACCTCAATTCAGGATATCATTATTTTACAGGGGATACGTTTTGGATGGACGATAAGCTGTTTGATTCTTGCATTATTTCCCATGATGCCCGTGGTTGGCCGAGAAACAAACTACCTCCATGTGTATGTGTATTTTTTTTCATTTCCTTATCTATTACCTTAATTCCTTGCTTTTTAAACTTATTACCGTAACTCCTTGTTCAGGCTACCGTGACCTGATTAACAGATATCTTTTCCAGTGTTCCATGTTGCTCACTTTAAATGTTTTACAAATAAACCGGGGCGAGGGATCTTGATGATTATGTCATTGTTTTTAACCATTTTCTTCTACTCTTGATCTTAAAGATTAAAGAAATGTTGAGGTTTGAGTGATAATGATGATTAGTGATGATAACTGATTATAATTCTTGCCTTATTCGTATCTTAGATATTTGAGTGAGACTTGTTGTTGTAACAATATTATCAGTACAATAGATTTAGGAATGAGATGTTTTCTCTTCTGTCCACCAGAATTTATTTGCTCAAATCTGGAATCATAACTAAACCAGAAATGTTCTGGAATATAGTAGTGAAAACACGACGAAAGGGATTAAACTTCTCCTGCCTATTGATACAAACTTCAAAAAATTCTCTTTAGAAATTCAGAAATCGTGACAGATTATGGTATACATTTGCAATCATACTCTAAGATACTAGGTTGATGTCAAACATTGAGAAGTAATCATTAACAGTTTGAAATGACACCATGTTTGATCAAGTGTGACATAGAAATATTATATTTGTTGTGGTTGACTGATTACAGGGGAGCTGCTGGTATACTTGCTATGGGTACAGGAGTATTAGCTATACAAAGGTAGGTTAATATATAGAAACCTTTGTTTCACAAGGATTTCATTTATTTGGTTAGAAAAAAATCTTAAATTGTTAATGTTTATTCCAACATTGGATTTAAAGATTTTTAGGTCGCCTGAGCCGAAGGCTCATGGTGACCTATTGCCATCATGATTTGTCTGTCGTCATGCATCCTGCGTTGTTAACTTTTCACATATTCGACTTCTTCTTAAGAACCACTGAATGGATTTTGACCAAACTTGGCACAAAGCATCCCCATGGGAAGCCGCTTCAAGTTTGCAAAGAAAAAGGGCATGGCCCCAATAGGGGCGCCAGGAGGGGGAAAAAAGGGATAAAATTAGGTAAATCTTAAAAATTTTCTTCTCATGAACCAACAGTCAGATTAAGTTCCTATTTGATATTTAGGGTCCTTATGGCATGGTCTACAAAGTTTGCGAATAAAATAAAAATCGGGTCAAAAACGGCCCCACTAGGGGGCACTCAAAAGGGTCAAAAATTGAACTTTGACCGATTTCAACCAAATTTGGAAGAATGCATCCCTTAGTGAAGACCATATGAAATTGTGTTGAAAAAAGTGATTATGTCCCCTTTGGGGCCCATAAGGGGTGTAAAAGCGGCCATATGTAAAAACCTTCTTTAAATGACTTCTTCTCAAGAACCATTGGATGGATTTTGACCAATCTTGGCACAAAGCATCCCCATGGGAAGCCACTTCAAGTTTGAGAAGAAAAAGGGTGTGGCCCCAACAGGGGCCGCAGGAGTGGGGGAAAGGGGGTAAAATTAGGTAAATCTTTAAAAATCTTCTTCTAATAAACCAACATTCAGATTAAATTCATATTTGATATTTAAGGTCCTTATGGCAAGGTCTACAAAGTTTGCGAATGAAAAAAAATCGGGTCAAAAACGGCCCTACTAGGGGGCGCTCAAAAGGGTCAAAAATTGAACTTTGACCGATTTCAACCAAATTTGGTAGAAAGCATCCCTTAGTGAAGGACATATGAAATTATGTTGAAAAAAGTAATTATGTCCCCTTTGGGGCCCATAAGGTGTAAGGGGCCATATGTAAAAACCTTCTCTAAATGACTTCTTCTCAAGAACCATTGGATGGATTTTGACCAAATTTAGAACAAAGCATCCCCATGGTAAGCCGCTTCAAGTTTGCGAAGAAAAAGGGTGAGGCCCCAATAGGGGCCGCAGGGAAAAGGGGAAACTTGATACGAATGTTCTACACAAGGTCCTGGCAAGTGTTTTAACTTTTTGGGGCGATTCAGAATCCAAGATGGCCACCTTGGCCTCTGTTTGGCTAAGACATTATTGACTTCCTCTCAAGAACCATTGGGTGGGTCATGTTTAAACTTGGTACAGATGTTTTACACATGGTCCTGCATAAGTGTTGTTACATTTTGCTACATTTTAAAATCCCCAGATTATTGACATATATTCCTCAGGTGACCGTTAAGGCCCTTTGGGCCTCTTGTCTAAATACATGTAATTTTTGGCGGTGATGTATTGCCTTTTTTAATTTTTCTTTCATTTCAGATTACAGTATTTTAGAACACCTAGTCATCATAGCTACAGCATTAATTATGTACAGGTATGGTAAACTTAGTCACTATGGTTACACTGTTAATTATGTACAGGTATGGTAAACTTAGTCACTATGGTTACACTGTTAATTATGTACAGGTATGGTAAACTTAGTCACTATGGTTACACTGTTAATTATGTACAGGTATGGTAAACTTAGTCACTATGGTTACACTGTTAATTATGTACAGGTATGGTAAACTTAGTCACTATGGTTACACTGTTAATTATGTAAAGGTATGGTAAACTTAGTCACTATGGTTACACTGTTAATTATGTGCAGGTATGGTAAACTTAGTCACTATGGTTACACTGTTAATTATGTACAGGTATGGTAAACTTAGTCACTATGGTTACACTGTTAATTATGTACAGGTATGGTAAACTTAGTCACTATGGTTACACTGTTAATTATGTACAGGTATGGTAAACTTAGTCACTATGGTTACACTGTTAATTATGTACAGGTATGGTAAACTTAGTCACTATGGTTACACTGTTAATTATGTACAGGTATGGTAAACTTAGCTACTATGATATGATATGATATGATACAACTTTTTAGTCTGATTTTGATACATTTATTTAGGTTGACATACAAGCCTTTATAACAGTGTTGACTTTTGTGCCTGACTTACCTGACATTATTGTAAAAATATTGACAGACTATTCCAGACTTCCAAGTTTGTAGCAATATTGATGTCTTTGTGAGTCACTTTTTACAATGTTGACATGTCTTTGTGAGTCACTTTTTACAATGTTGACATGTCTTTGTGAGTCACTATCTACAATGTCGATATGTCTTTGTGAGTCATTATCTACAATGTTGACATGTCTTTGTGAGTCACTATTTGCATTGTTGACATGTCTTTGTGAGTCATTATCTACAATGTTGATATGTCTTTGTGAGTCACTATCTACAATGTTGATATGTCTTTGTGAGTCACTATCTACAATGTTGATATGTCTTTGTAAGTCACTATCTACAATGTTGATATGTCTTTGTGAGTCACTATTTACAATGTTGACATGTCATTGTGAGTCATTATCTACAATGCTGATATGTCTTTGTGAGTCATTATCTACAATGTTGACATGTCATTGTGAGTCACTATCTACAATGCTGATATGTCTTTGTGAGTCACTATCTACAATGTTGACATGTCTTTATGAGTCACTATTTACAATGTTTATACAGTTTTTGAGTCAGATTTCTTCTTGTCATTTTCAGCTTGTACTTACAGCCCTGTCTGTGTATATTGTACTGTCCACCTCACACAGTATACAGAAGAAACAAGGACTACCCCTCATCAACCAGGTCTTTAGCTGGCTTGTATTAGGTTAGCACTGATTTTATTAGGAACACCATTTCTCTTGATTAATTTTCCAACATTTCCTCAAAGTCCCTTAACTGTTTTGTTTCGTTGATATAATTTGATTATCTATTAATTATGAGATGAAAATGCATACTTCTTGAGTCATACATCTGATAATTCATTAATTTTACCAAGATCTTTAAGAAAGTCGATCACATTGAGGAAAGCAATGTTTTGGTCTCATCACATTGAAAACTCACTGAAGATATCTATTTACAGTAACAGTTACAGGTGTGTTATTCTTTCCAGGTGTTTCATTGATGATACCATTGTTGTCAGGAACAGGTGTATTACATCGCCTATTGACGATCATGCTAGCCTATCTTCCTGTCTACCTTCTGCTCAGTATCTCGTATCCTTAATTACATCTTCTCTAGACAGAAGAAGGGAGTCATATTTAAATTGCATTCAAATGAGCCATGTGATGTTTTATAATGTTTCCTTACAATAAACCATTAGACTGATTGTATAACTTCCTACCACAGTGAGTTCTATGTATCGTAAATATGATTAGTAGTTGTAATACAACAGTACTGTAATAAATGTGCAGTGTTTGTATTGCTTAGTAACATTTGTAATACAATTGTGATAACAGTACACTTATTGATCTGTTAAATAGTGATTGTAGAATACCGGTGAAGTATGGTAAAGTGAAGGCCATGGTAAAGTGAACCGTAGTTCATTTCACCATCATGGTGAAAAATCCCACCCCACCCATGGTAAAGTGAACCGTAGTTCATTTCACCATCATGGTGAAAAATCCCACCCCACCCATGGTAAAGTGAACCGTAGTTCATTTCACCATCATGGTGAAAAATCCCACCCCACCCATGGTAAAGTGAACCGTAGTTCATTTCACCATCATGGTGAAAAATCCCACCCCACCCATGGTAAAGTGAAGTCACTTAATATTTTGTTTTCAATTGCTGTTTCACTAAACTTTTTATCGGTTTACTTATGTTCCTCAATACATAATAAAACAAAAGAAAACAGGGAATTAAGGATGGAATGGGTTGGGGGGGGGGTTCACTTGAACATGGCCATGGTAAAGTGAAGCATTAAGCTATTTTTGAACTAATTAACTTTTTTTCACCAATTGCTTTGCAATTCATCCTCATTCAATTATATAAACACATTTATAACAAACATTAGGTCCGGGGTGGGGAAATTTAGGGTGGGCAATAGGGTTCACTTCACCTTGGCCATGGTTAAGTCACTCCCCCCCCCTCCCCTGCCTCACCTCAGATTTAACCATCCCAAGCCTATGTTTTGTTATTTTTGTGTTTATATGATTGATTCAGGGTAAATAGGACAAAAATAGGGTACAGAAAGGTAAATCAGTAAGATAACAGTGTAACGCTTCACTTTACCATGGCCCAACCCCGCCCTAAATTTCACCAACCATTGTTATTTTTCAGTTTTATTATGTTTGGAGGAACTTGATAAACGAAAGAGATAAGAAATTAAGTGCAGAAACATCAACTGAAAACAAAATATAAAGTGGCTTCACTTTACCATGGAGGGGTTCATTTCATCAATATGGTATTTTGACCTCGGTTCATTTCCCCATGCATCACAATACCATGCTAAAACGGTCTACCATACTTGCATTTTCAGTTTTTGTTGTTTTTGTTTCATTTTGCATTTGTGTTAATTGTAGATTGTTCATTGTTTTGTGTTTACAGTTTTGTGTTTGTGATTATAATTGTTTTGTGTTTTGTGTTTACAGTTTTGTGTTTGTGATTATAATTGTTTTGTGTTTACAGTTTCGTGTTTGTGATTATAATTGTTTTGTGTTTACAGTTTTGTGTTTGTGATTATAATTGTTTTGTGTTATTTGTTTACAGTTTTGTGTTTGTGATTATAATTGTTTTGTGTTTTTTATTTGCAGTTTCGTGTTTGTGATTATAATTGTTTTGTGTTATTTGTTTACAGTTTTGTGTTTGTGATTATAATTGTTTTGTGTTTTGTGTTTGTGATTATAATTGTTTTGTGTTTGTGATTATAATTGTTTTGTGTTATTTGTTTACAGTTTTGTGTTTGTGATTATAATTGTTTTGTGTTTTTTATTTACAGTTTCGTGTTTGTGATTATAATTGTTTTGTGTTATTTGTTTACAGTTTTGTGTTTGTGATTATAATTGTTTTGTGTTTTGTGTTTGTGATTATAATTGTTTTGTGTTTTGTGTTTACAGTTTCGTGTTTGTGATTTTAATTGTTTTGTGTTATTTGTTTAAAGTTTTGTGTTTGTGATTATAATTGTTTTGTGTTTTTTGTTTAAAGTTTTGTGTTTGTGATTATAATTGTTTTGTGTTTACAGTTTTGTGTTTGTGATTATAATTGTTTTGTGTTTTTTGTTTACAGTTTCGTGTTTGTGATTATAATTGTTTTGTGTTTTTTGTTTAAAGTTTCGTGTTTGTGATTATAATTGTTTTGTGTTTACAGTTTTGTGTTCGTGATTATAATTGTTTTGTGTTTTGTGTTTACAGTTTTGTGTTTGTGATTATAATTGTTTTGTGTTTTTTGTTTAAAGTTTCGTGTTTGTGATTATAATTGTTTTTTGTTTTGTGTTTACAGTTTTGTGTTTGTGATTATAATTGTTTTGTGTTTACAGTTTTGTGTTTGTGATTATAATTGTTTTGTGTTTACAGTTTCGTGTTTGTGATTATAATTGTTTTGTGTTTTTTGTTTACAGTTTTGTGTTTGTGATTATAATTGTTTTGTGTTATTTGTTTACAGTTTTGTGTTTGTGATTATAATTGTTTTGTGTTTTGTGTTTACAGTTTTGTGTTTGTGATTATAATTATTTTGTGTTATTTGTTTACAGTTTTGTGTTTGTGATTATAATTGTTTTGTGTTATTTGTTTACAGTTTTGTGTTTGTGATTATAATTGTTTTGTGTTTTTTGTTTACAGTTTTGTGTTTGTGATTATAATTGTTTTGTGTTTTGTGTTTACAGTTTCGTGTTTGTGATTATAATTGTTTTGTGTCATTTGTTTACAGTTTTGTGTTTGTGATTATAATTGTTTTGTGTTTTTTGTTTACAGTTTTGTGTTTGTGATTATAATTGTTTTGTGTTATTTGTTTACAGTTTCGTGTTTGTGATTATAATTGTTTTGTGTTTACAGTTTTGTGTTTGTGATTATAATTGTTTTGTGTTTACAGTTTTGTGTTTGTGATTATAATTGTTTTGTGTTTACAGTTTTGTGTTTGTGATTATAATTGTTTTGTGTTTACAGTTTTGTGTTTGTGATTATAATTGTTTTGTGTTTACAGTTTTGTGTTTGTGATTATAATTGTTTTGTGTTATTTGTTTACAGTTTTGTGTTTGTGATTATAATTGTTTTGTGTTTTTTATTTACAGTTTCGTGTTTGTGATTATAATTGTTTTGTGTTTTGTGTTTACAGTTTTGTGTTTGTGATTATAATTGTTTTGTGTTTTGTGTTTACAGTTTCGTGTTTGTGATTATAATTGTTTTGTGTTTTGTGTTTACAGTTTCGTGTTTGTGATTATAATTGTTTTGTGTTTACAGTTTTGTGTTTGTGATTATAATTGTTTTGTGTTATTTGTTTACAGTTTCGTGTTTGTGATTATAATTGTTTTGTGTTTACAGTTTTGTGTTTGTGATTATAATTGTTTTGTGTTTACAGTTTTGTATTTGTGATTATAATTGTTTTGTGTTTTTTATTTACAGTTTCGTGTTTGTGATTATAATTGTTTTGTGTTTTGTGTTTACAGTTTTGTGTTTGTGATTATAATTGTTTTGTGTTTTGTGTTTACAGTTTTGTGTTTGTGATTATAATTGTTTTGTGTTTTGTGTTTACAGTTTCGTGTTTGTGATTTTAATTGTTTTGTGTTATTTGTTTAAAGTTTCGTGTTTGTGATTTTAATTGTTTTGTGTTATTTGTTTAAAGTTTTGTGTTTGTGATTATTATTGTTTTGTGTTTTGTGTTTACAGTTTCGTGTTTGTGATTTTAATTGTTTTGTGTTATTTGTTTAAAGTTTTGTGTTTGTGATTATAATTGTTTTGTGTTTTTTGTTTAAAGTTTCGTGTTTGTGATTATAATTGTTTTGTGTTTACAGTTTTGTGTTTGTGATTATAATTGTTTTGTGTTATTTGTTTACAGTTTTGTGTTTGTGATTATAATTGTTTTGTGTTTTGTGTTTACAGTTTCGTGTTTGTGATTATAATTGTTTTGTGTTTTGTGTTTACAGTTTTGTGTTTGTGATTATAATTGTTTTGTGTTTTGTGTTTACAGTTTCGTGTTTGTGATTATAATTGTTTTGTGTTTTGTGTTTACAGTTTTGTGTTTGTGATTATAATTGTTTTGTGTTTTGTGTTTACAGTTTCGTGTTTGTGATTATAATTGTTTTGTGTTTTTTGTTTACAGTTTTGTGTTTGTGATTATAATTGTTTTGTGTTATTTGTTTACAGTTTTGTGTTTGTGATTATAATTGTTTTGTGTTTTGTGTTTGTGATTATAATTGTTTTGTGTTTTGTGTTTACAGTTTCGTGTTTGTGATTTTAATTGTTTTGTGTTATTTGTTTAAAGTTTTGTGTTTGTGATTATAATTGTTTTGTGTTTTTTGTTTAAAGTTTCGTGTTTGTGATTATAATTGTTTTGTGTTTACAGTTTTGTGTTTGTGATTATAATTGTTTTGTGTTTTTTGTTTACAGTTTCGTGTTTGTGATTATAATTGTTTTGTGTTTTTTGTTTAAAGTTTCGTGTTTGTGATTATAATTGTTTTGTGTTTACAGTTTTGTGTTCGTGATTATAATTGTTTTGTGTTTTTTGTTTAAAGTTTCGTGTTTGTGATTATAATTGTTTTGTGTTTACAGTTTTGTGTTTGTGATTATAATTGTTTTGTGTTTTTTGTTTAAAGTTTCGTGTTTGTGATTATAATTGTTTTGTGTTTTGTGTTTACAGTTTCGTGTTTGTGATTATAATTGTTTTGTGTTTAATTGTTTTGTGTTTACAGTTTCGTGTTTGTGATTATAATTGTTTTGTGTTATTTGTTTACAGTTTTGTGTTTGTGATTATAATTGTTTTGTGTTATTTGTTTACAGTTTTGTGTTTGTGATTATAATTGTTTTGTGTTTTTTGTTTACAGTTTTGTGTTTGTGATTATAATTGTTTTGTGTTATTTGTTTACAGTTTTGTGTTTGTGATTATAATTGTTTTGTGTTATTTGTTTACAGTTTTGTGTTTGTGATTATAATTGTTTTGTGTTTTTTGTTTACAGTTTTGTGTTTGTGATTATAATTGTTTTGTGTTTTGTGTTTACAGTTTCGTGTTTGTGATTATAATTGTTTTGTGTCATTTGTTTACAGTTTTGTGTTTGTGATTATAATTGTTTTGTGTTTTTTGTTTACAGTTTTGTGTTTGTGATTATAATTGTTTTGTGTTATTTGTTTACAGTTTCGTGTTTGTGATTATAATTGTTTTGTGTTTACAGTTTTGTGTTTGTGATTATAATTGTTTTGTGTTTACAGTTTTGTGTTTGTGATTATAATTGTTTTGTGTTTACAGTTTTGTGTTTGTGATTATAATTGTTTTGTGTTTAATTGTTTTGTGTTTTGTGTTTACAGTTTTGTGTTTGTGATTATAATTGTTTTGTGTTATTTGTTTACAGTTTTGTGTTTGTGATTATAATTGTTTTGTGTTTTTTATTTACAGTTTCGTGTTTGTGATTATAATTGTTTTGTGTTTTGTGTTTACAGTTTTGTGTTTGTGATTATAATTGTTTTGTGTTTTGTGTTTACAGTTTTGTGTTTGTGATTATAATTGTTTTGTGTTTTGTGTTTACAGTTTCGTGTTTGTGATTATAATTGTTTTGTGTTTACAGTTTTGTGTTTGTGATTATAATTGTTTTGTGTTATTTGTTTACAGTTTCGTGTTTGTGATTATAATTGTTTTGTGTTTACAGTTTTGTGTTTGTGATTATAATTGTTTTGTGTTTACAGTTTTGTGTTTGTGATTATAATTGTTTTGTGTTTTTTATTTACAGTTTCGTGTTTGTGATTATAATTGTTTTGTGTTTTGTGTTTACAGTTTTGTGTTTGTGATTATAATTGTTTTGTGTTTTGTGTTTACAGTTTTGTGTTTGTGATTATAATTGTTTTGTGTTTTGTGTTTACAGTTTCGTGTTTGTGATTTTAATTGTTTTGTGTTATTTGTTTAAAGTTTCGTGTTTGTGATTTTAATTGTTTTGTGTTATTTGTTTAAAGTTTTGTGTTTGTGATTATTATTGTTTTGTGTTTTGTGTTTACAGTTTCGTGTTTGTGATTTTAATTGTTTTGTGTTATTTGTTTAAAGTTTTGTGTTTGTGATTATAATTGTTTTGTGTTTTTTGTTTAAAGTTTCGTGTTTGTGATTATAATTGTTTTGTGTTTACAGTTTTGTGTTTGTGATTATAATTGTTTTGTGTTATTTGTTTACAGTTTTGTGTTTGTGATTATAATTGTTTTGTGTTTTGTGTTTACAGTTTCGTGTTTGTGATTATAATTGTTTTGTGTTTTGTGTTTACAGTTTTGTGTTTGTGATTATAATTGTTTTGTGTTTTGTGTTTACAGTTTCGTGTTTGTGATTATAATTGTTTTGTGTTTTGTGTTTACAGTTTTGTGTTTGTGATTATAATTATTTTGTGTTATTTGTTTACAGTTTTGTGTTTGTGATTATAATTGTTTTGTGTTTTTTGTTTAAAGTTTCGTGTTTGTGATTATAATTGTTTTGTGTTTTTTGTTTACAGTTTTGTGTTTGTGATTATAATTGTTTTGTGTTTTTTGTTTACAGTTTTGTGTTTGTGATTATAATTGTTTTGTGTCATTTGTTTACAGTTTTGTGTTTGTGATTATAATTGTTTTGTGTTTTGTGTTTACAGTTTTGTGTTTGTGATTATAATTGTTTTGTGTTTACAGTTTTGTGTTTGTGATTATAATTGTTTTGTGTTATTTGTTTACAGTTTTGTGTTTGTGATTATAATTGTTTTGTGTTTTTTATTTACAGTTTCGTGTTTGTGATTATAATTGTTTTGTGTTTACAGTTTTGTGTTTGTGATTATAATTGTTTTGTGTTTACAGTTTTGTGATTATAATTGTTTTGTGTTATTTGTTTACAGTTTTGTTTTGTGATCATAATTGTTTTGTGTTTTTTATTTACAGCTTCGTGTTTGTGATTATAATTGTTTTGTGTTTTGTGTTTACAGTTTTGTGTTTGTGATTATAATTGTTTTGTGTTTTGTGTTTACAGTTTTGTGTTTGTGATTATAATTGTTTTGTGTTTTGTGTTTACAGTTTTGTGTTTGTGATTATAATTGTTTTGTGTTTTGTGTTTACAGTTTCGTGTTTGTGATTTTAATTGTTTTGTGTTATTTGTTTAAAGTTTTGTGTTTGTGATTATAATTGTTTTGTGTTTTTTGTTTAAAGTTTTGTGTTTGTGATTATAATTGTTTTGTGTTTTGTGTTTACAGTTTCGTGTTTGTGATTTTAATTGTTTTGTGTTATTAAAGTTTTGTGTTTGTGATTATAATTGTTTTGTGTTTTGTGTTTACAGTTTTGTGTTTGTGATTATAATTGTTTTGTGTTTTGTGTTTACAGTTTCGTGTTTGTGATTATAATTGTTTTGTGTTTTTTGTTTAAAGTTTCGTGTTTGTGATTATAATTGTTTTTTGTTTACAGTTTTGTGTTTGTGATTATAATTGTTTTGTGTTTTTTATTTACAGTTTCGTGTTTGTGATTATAATTGTTTTGTGTTATTTGTTTACAGTTTTGTGTTTGTGATTAAAATTGTTTTGTGTTTTTTGTTTACATTTTTGTGTTTGTGATTATAATTGTTTTGTGTTTTTTGTTTACATTTTTGTGTTTGATTATAATTGTTTTTTGTTTTTTGTTTACAGTTTCGTTTTTGTGATTATAATTGTTTTCATTTTCCAGTTCAGTTGACATTTTTTTGAGGGAATGTTGTTAAATTTATTGCAGTGCTTAGTAACGATTGTAATACAATGGTAATAATTAATGTACATTGTTCTTTTTTAGTAATTATTGTGAAACATTTATTATAGATGTACAATAATTGTACTGTTTAATAACAAATGTAACACAATTGTAATGAATGTACAATTATTGTACTGACCATTGTGGATTAAAATCCCAAATTGACATTCATTTTCTTCCTAAAACAAAGTTCTACATTCAAAATATTGTATTTAAGATATAGGAAGTTTGTAGAGTGATGTAATCAGTGTGTGAGCTGTCGTGTTAGTTATCCTTGACCAGATGTCAGACATGAGGGGCTGTTTGTGGTCACTCTCTCTTACCTTTTGTATTTCTGGCTACACCTGGAAAATAGAAGTAGTGGACAGATCAGCCAAATCAAACCAAAGGTTTGTATCATTGTATGTAGATATCTATTGATCGTAAATATTCTGAGCTTAATCCTGTACAAGTTTTTACTGTAGAGTTAGGCTGGCTAAGGTGTTTAGTGTATTACAGAGTGAGAAGTTCAGAGTTTTAAAAACTTGTTTTGATTAAGGTCTAAGAAACAGGGAATTTTATGCATCTGCTGCTGGTCTTCAATGCGATGGAGCTACGGCACCAAATATGATGAAAACTATTAAATTTCAGAAGTAGAACTTGTAGAGTTGATGATGAAGTCCAGTATTTGTTGAAAATGTTTATTCTTCTTATATTTATGTACAATATGTAGGTATGCTTTACACAATTAGCAATCATACATATTAACATAGTTACCGTTTTAAAATTAGTAATCATGCATATTACCATAGTTACCGTTTTAAAATTAGTAATCATGCATATTACCATAGTTACCATTATTAAAAAAATAGCAATCATACATATTACCATAGTTATCGTTTTAAAATTAGTAAACATGCAAATTACCATAGTTACCGTTTTAAAATTAGTAATCATAAATATTACCATAGTTACCGTTTTTTAAATTAGCAATCGTACATATTACCATAGTTACAGTTTTAAAATTAGTAATCATGTATATTACCATAGTTACCTTTTTAAAATTAGTAATCATGCTTATTACCATAGTTACCTTTTTAAAATTAGTAATGCATATTACCATAGTTACCTTTTTAAAATTAGTAATCATACATATTACCATAGTTACCGTTTTAAAATTAATCATGCATATTACCATAGTTACCGTTATTAAGAAAATTAGCAATCATACATATTACCATAGTAACCTTTTTAAAATTAGTAATCATACATATTACCATAGTTACCGTTTTAAAATTAGTAATCATGCATATTACCATAGTTACCGTTATTAAGAAAATTAGCAATCATACATATTACCATAGTTACCGTTTTAAAATTAACAATCACACATATTACCATTGTTTCCGTTTTAAAATTAGCAATCATACAGATTACCATAGTTACCGTTTTAAAATTAGCAATCACACATATTACCATTGTTACCGTTTTAAAATTAGCAATCATACAGATTACCATAGTTTCTGTTTTGAAATGAGTAATCATGCATATTACCGTAGTTACCTTTTTAAAATTAGTAATCATGCATATTACCATAGTTATGGTTTTGAAGTTAGTAATCATGCATATTACCATAGTTACCGTTTTAAAATTAGTAGTCATGCATATTACCATAGTTACCGTTTTAAAATTAGCAATCATACATATTGCTATAGGTACCCTTTTTTAAATTAGTAATCATGCATATTACCATAGTTACCGTTTTCAAATTAGTAATCATAGATATTACCAAAGTTACCGTTGTATAATTAGCGATCATACCTATAACCATGGTTATCATTAAAAAATTAGCAATTACAAAAATTAAATGGTATATTTGTAGTATTATCATTATTATTATCTTTATTTCCTCCAAATATGAAGATTTACAAAGAAAACTATATAAACTGCAATAAATTACATAAATTTACACACGTACACACCAACACGCACATACATATATATACAGTTACAATATGTTTTGATAGTTAATTAGAGGTATTTCACTACTTTCAACACATTTTCAAGATATAGGGTTTTGGTACTTATATGTACCAGAAAAACAGATTACTGATAATAGTTTTTCAACATTTGACATACATATGAGATAGCGCCTAATCTGAAATGTTCCATTTTCTCTGAAGATAAATCATACTTTAATAGACTGCCTAACCGAGCATTAGTTAATTCGAAATGCGATAAGTTATGTATATGGACACTGAATTGAATATCTGACATGTTAATAACATAGCACCATAATTCGTCTCTATTGTATGCATTTGTATCACAATTTAGAACAATATGAGTTATAGAATCATTGTAAAATTTTCCACAAACATGACACAATTCCGTATTGGTAGACCTGCGAGAGGTTACACACCATCTTAAAATACAATGTATAGATAAAGAGTACTGAGGATATTTTGCAGCAAGTTTCCATAAGCAATGTGACTCTAGCTTGTTATGAATCGACGCGAACCGGAAGTAGTCAAATATATATACGTACTTATTTACCAATGTTTTCCACTGTCGTTTACCAGGTAACGAGCCCGTTCTTATACAATCTGAAAAAATACCATACAATGTATACTTGCGTAGGATCCGTACAATATCTGGTATGAACCCACTTTGTTTTGCAGTACTCGTATTAAACATAAAATATCTAATGGCAAATATTTTATATACCAAAGTGCTAATGTTCATACTATATATTCGCCTCAAAAATAGTAACTTTCTTATATCAATATAAGCTTTAATAGATGTCCAACCTAATAATGAGTTACACATATCGGTTCTCGTCCTTTTTTCAAAACCTTGGATGGATTTAACAATAAAACTTTGTGCTCTTTCTAACATGGCTATTTCAGCTTTTGAGAGTATCCATAGTTCACAACCATACAACGCAGACGGATACACTTTAATATTAACCAGTTTAGCTACAGTAAGAGGGTTAAGTGCACTGGGGTGAGCACCAGATTTAAGGAGAGACATGGTACCAGATTGTAAATTGTTGCAAGCTCTTTCTGTTCTTTCAGTTGAATTACATCTACCATTTAACAGTATACCTACATGTCTAATTTCACTAACTACTGGCAGAATAGTATTATCATAATTATTACTATAGATACAGTTATAGATTTAATCGTACATATTACCATAGCAACCGTTGTAGCACTAGTAATCAATAAAAGGTTGAATGTCCGTATGTTAATTTGAACACGACCTTTGTGAACATTCTCAATAGAATAGTAATTAAATCCTCGCTGATTCTACCTTACACCAATATACATTGTATTTATAAATGAAGTTCAGGTCTTCAGATTTCCAACACTGAATCATTATATTTCATTATTTTATCATTTATTATGTTTAATGGACTTATATGTTATTTTATGGTTTCAGGTAGAATCTGTAGACTTTGTCTCGCCATTACTGCCTGAAATCAAACAACAGCGCCACCTGCAATTGGAAGACGTCCGCAGAGCTTTTTATTTTGTATCTTTTTCGTAGTGTTGTAAATGTACTTGAACATTCCTACAGCAGAATTTTTGATTGATGGCTCTTTATAGCAAGTTAAATTATTTTGGCAAAGTATCTAAGTGTTTACTCTTAATATAACTTAACTTTCTTTTCAGACAATTTGTTCTGGAAAGATTGATATTTTAGAAAATATTTGAAGAGTTAAAAAAAGTTCAGAATTGCAGTATTATATAATCTTCTTACCTCAAACAACATGTAATCTCATACTGACTACATGTCTTCATAATTGATTAAACATATATCTGAGCTACTGATCTACAGGGTAAACATGAAAGTAGGTGATTAATTGATGCAGTAAATGAAATATTTTCTTAACAAACAAGGTTTTCCTGATGCTGACTGGCTTTTTCGGCACTGGGAATATAGCCAGCATTAACAGGTATGTCGACTTTGAGATTAAATCAGTTTTACTAAAAACCATAACAGTTAAATCAATTTTTAATTTGTAATCCTAATTATTTGAGGAGGTTTGCCGTGAAAAGAAGTTTCAGATATAAATATGTGTTGTCGTGAGCCATTAAGATTTAATTGAGAAGATCTGGACTTTTTGCATTTCTAGTTACTGTTTTTGTCATTTTGTGTTCTTGACAAAACATTCTTGTCTTCACATCTAATAAGTACACATATTTTGTATAAATGTTCCTGTCGTGAAATGGCTCATTAAGAGATTCCATTGCCGTTATTGAACTAAGTTAATCTGACTGGTTCATTTAGTGTCACCTGTCTCTTTTGACCTAAGAAATGTGCAAAATGTAGATATATTGTCCAGCATTTACATAGCTAGTTTGGACATTGTACATTGTTCTCTGTCACCTAGTCAGCAAGCATGTGTGTTCACTGTAGGTTTATAGGATGGTAATAGTACATCTAATTTGTTATTATTGGTGTAAATCGGTGGAAACGTTCTTTACAAGACATATAGTAATGAATGTATAGAGTGGTGATAGGAAACAGGGATGTATTCGTGTGTAGGAGGTTTTCTATAATTACTAAATACATTTCATTCCACATGTAATGAAAGCAGCAATGTTTTTTGTATTAAATCTTGAAATTGTGTCTAATTTCTTGAAGACGGCAAATTATACGTCATTTTGTAGCTGCCAAGTTTATGAACAACGATGTCAAAATGTGCATTTCATTACAGTTTTCTGCAGTTCTCAGTGGTACCAGCACTATAATGTATTAGTTCATCACACTCTTGTCCCACCCATTGTCAGATTGGTGATTTCGTTGCGTGAAAACATGTTGTCTACATTCAGTTTAAACAGAGAAAGCCGTTCTTTAAACAAACACGTAAACATTGAGCATGATATAGCTTCATTATTGAATACCTGGTGGATTTACTCTATTTAAATACATGTATTTACCGCAAATGAATAAGTAGAGACAATTTAAAGTTAATGAAAGTTTTGAGTAATAACACGTATTGAACTAATATACATAATCAAAGACGATATGTATTGTTTAATTTGGTATCTGCTGACGTGTCTACAGCATTTTCATTTTTCTTTCACCACTAAAGTACGCTGTGAAAGAAATAAAAATTGAGTAAAAATGGGCAAGATGTTTTCTTGTTTTTATTTTCTGTAACGGATACTAGCTTAGTAGGTCTTACTGTTCATTAAATATTAATTAATGTCACTAGATTCATACTTTATCACACTGCACTTTCGCTAGGTTTTATATGATGTCGTAATGCAGTATAAGATACATTCATTATTAGTCACACTTAATCCTAACCATTAGTTTAAATTTAGATATTGTACACCTGCACGTCGTTGTAGGTTACCGTTCTATACATAATCTTTACGGTTTCAAAAAAGTTTTCCAAACTGAGTGTCGGTACCGAAAATGTGGACGGATTTCTGAAATCATTCTAAAGACAGCCAAGTTTGTGATTGACGAATGTCTTGCGCGAGGTAAAACGTCAAAATGACACCGATGGTATTTTGTACGTTGGAGACATTGAATGACGTCACATTTGATTGTAAAGTTACTTAAACAATTACAATACTCACCAAGTACCTTGTCACATTTTACTTTGCCATTGGCCTCAGTGGAAAGTTTGTCCGCGTTTCATCAACACTGATTTTTAATTCTTACTGGTTTTGTTTGCGTCACCGCAGACGGAGAAAATCTGTCGTTCGTTTGAATGTTTATCTAGATTGAAAGCTAGAATGCTTATCAGCTGAGTTTATGATGACATCTTGTTACTGTACAATATGACCAAATTAAATAATTGGGATGTAAATTTACAATTTACATAAAGTAGAGAGGACTACATGTATCAAGTCACATTCTACATACGGACACATATTACAAAATGTCTGTAACACTGTATAACAAATCCTGTGTCAGCGCAGCAATATTGCTACATTTTATTCTGGTATTTGTGATTATATTCCTCAATATGTCGTTTCTGATGGCCAGATTCTCACGGTAAAATGTAAAACTCAGTTTGTGTTTAACAGCGAAATATTCCACTAAAATCTACCAAACGCTTAGATCCTGATATATGCTGGTTTTAATTCAATTTAATCTGTAGTTTTAATGTGATGTGAGATTTAATGTAATGTACAATTTAATGTAATGTAAGATTAATATAATGTGGGATTAATGTAATGTTAGAGTAATATAATGTGATAATTAATGTAATGTGAGATTTATTGTTATGTGAGATTTAATGTTATGTGAGATTAATATAATGTGAGATTAATGTAATGTGATATTAATGTAATGTGAGATTAATATAATGTGAGATTAATGTAATGTGAGATTTATTGTTATGTGAGATTTAATGTTATGTGAGATTAATATAATGTGAGATTAATGTAATGTGAGATTAATGTTATGTGGGTTTTAATGTAATGTGAGATTAATGTAATGTGAGATTAATGTAATGTGGGTTAATGTGGGTTGTTAATGTAATGTGAGATTAATGTAATGTGAGATTAATGTAATGTGAGATTAATGTAATGTGGGTTTTAATGTAATGTGAGATTAATGTAATGTGAGATTAATGTTATGTGAGATTAATATAATGTGAGATTAATATAACGTAAGATTATTATTTTGTGAGTTTTGATATAATGTAAGTTTTAATGTAATGTGAGATTAATGTAATGTAAGATTGATGTAATGTGATGTTTAATGTGATGTGAGATTAATGTAATGTGATGTTTAATGTAATGTGAGATTAATATAATGTAAGTTTTAATGTTATGTGAGATTAATATAATGTGAGTTATAATGTAATGAAAGTTTTAATTTAACGTGATATTAATGTTATGTGAGTTTTAATGTAATGTGATGTTTTAATGTAATGTGAGATTAATGTAATGTAAGAGAGATTAATGTAATGTAAGATTAATGTTATGTGAGATTAATATAATGTGAGATTAATATAACGTGAGATTATTATTTTTTGAGTTTTGATATAATGTAAGTTTTAATGTAACGTGAGATTAATGTAACGTGAGATTAATGTAATGTGAGGTTAATATCATGGGAGTTTTAATGTAATAGAAAGTTTTAATGTAAAATGAGATTAATGTAGTGGGAGATTAATATAATGTGAGTTATAATGTAATGAAAAGTTATAATTTAACGTGAGATTAATGTAATGTGTGTTTTAATATAATGTGAGATTAATGTAATGTGAGTTTTTATGTGTGTTTTAATGTAACGTGAGATTAATGTAATGTGAGATTAATATAATGTGAGATTTAATGTTATGTGAGATTAATATAATGTGAGATTTAATGTAATGTAATGTGTGTTTTAATATGTGTTTTAATGTAACGTGAGATTAATGTACTGTGACATTAATATAATGTGAGTTTTAATGTAATGGAAGTTTTAATTTAACGTGAGATTAATGTAATGTGTGTTTTAATATAATGTGAGATTAATGTAATGTGGAGTTTTAATGTAACGTGAGATTAATGTAATGTGAGATTAATATAATGTAAGATTAATGTAATGTGAGTTTTAATGTGTGTTTTAATGTAACGTGAGATTAATGTAACGTGAGATTAATGTAATGTGAGATTAATATAATGTGAGTTTAAATGTAATGGAAGTTTTAATTTAACGTGAGATTAATGTAATGTGTGTTTTAATATAATGTGAGATTAAGGTAATGTGTGTTTTAATGTGTGTTTTAATATAATGTGAGATTAATATAATGAGAGTTTACATGTAATGTGAGTTTTAATGTAACGTGCGATTAATGTAACGTGAGATTAATGTAACGTGCGATTAATGTAATGTGAGATTAATGTAATGTGAGATTAATATAATGTGAGATTAATGTAATGTGAGTTTTAATGTGTGTTTTAATGTAACGTGAGATTAATGTAATGTGAGATTAATATAATGTGAGTTTTAATGTAATGGAAGTTTTAATTTAACGTGAGATTAATGTAATTTGTGTTTTAATGTAATGTGGGTTTTAATGCAATGTGAGTTTTAATGTAATGTGGGGTTTTAATCTAATGTGAGATTAATATAATGTGAGATTAATGTAATGTGATTAATGTAATGTGATTAATGTAATGTGAGTTTTATTGTAATGTAGGTTTAAATATAATTGAAGTTATTTTTGTGAATTAGTTTTGTTACATAGCCACGTAAGTGACTAAACAGCACTCTCTGTACCGTCGGCAGACACACACCAGACCATTTTCAACATGACTATTGTAATATGTTACGATCTACCTTAGGATTACATAATAGATAGAGGGAGATGAATCCACGAATAAAAAGTATATGAAAGTTGAAACTCGTATTTATGGTCGCCGTTGTGGGTGGGAGCGATAGGAGATTCTGTTTTTATACTAACATGTTAATTTATTTCCGTTTTATATCCTTCTAGTTTTGAACCAGCATCTGTGTACTGTTTTATGACTGTCTTCAGCCCGTTCACCATGGGAACTCTTATGATGTTAAAGGTAAGAATGCTATTCTCAGTAGTTTTTGTCGTGTCAATAAATCTCACACAAGTTAACATATTCAGTTGACATTGTTATAGTGTCGGCTAATAAAATAGCAATAAATAACACACATGCACTTCCATGTCATGAAAAATGGCTTCTATTTCAATACCGGGAATTCTAGTCATCACATGTTGCGCAACGAATTGGTTTTAAGCTCTCTGTTACGTGCTAACGTTATGCTAATTGCTCGTTGTCAGTATAAACATATCACCCCAAAACTTTCTGAAATTCATAATTGTATGGTATTGCTGCGATGTAACCTTACAAAAGTAAATGGTTTGTTACAAGCTCATTAAATGCAAACGGTGTAGGAATATTGAAAGTAACATACGCAAATTGAGTGAATTTTCCTGATTATGCTGGCATTCATGTGCCCGTGAATGTGACCTGCCAGGTTTATTGTCGGATGATTATCATGTGTAGACTTGCTGGATTAGAATATGGTTTATGCTTGGTTAGAATGTTATATCTAGAGGAGGTTCTATATTAGAAAGATTACATGGACGTTATATGTTGACGTACTGAATGTTTTCACTGATTTAGATACTTCACACATTTCGTTTGCTTATTCAGTAGTCACGTTCTTGTATCCCTTTGTTGTTTTTTTTTTTTTTTTTTTGAAACACAAAATTTTCTAACACGAGGTAAAACATCTGTTGCTGTTAGGTGTTACTACATCAGTATAAGTTGTGTTATTACTATTTTGTATACCTCGCATTAAGTACGAATAAACTTTATAAAAAATATTACTTAAGCAGATCCACTCTGTAAACGCTTTCAGCATTGAACTGACTGACATGTCTACCAATGTATATACATTGAACTAAAGTTTGCTAACTCCCACACATGCATTACACCTTGTCCAAAATGGCTTATATATAAAATACCTGTTCCCACCTCAAACAGATTCCCGTACCAAAACGTTTACTGTTTTACAAATGCACTTTATTTCTACTCACCTCGTACTTTTGATTGAACGTTTGATTTTTTTTTCGCTTTAGTCAAAGAGGTCTGGCATTACATGCATGTCACAATTTAATTCAGGGTTTAGTATATACAAATGTAATTCAAATCGTTTTTAAATTTTGCAACTTTGAACTAATTCAATTTCAAAAATAATTTTATAAAAAAAGATTGTGGGTTACATTTTCCCATCTAAGATTTAAAATTTCCTCAGTCGTCTCCACTGTCTTTTGCATCACTGACAAAGTTCTAGAAGGACGAATTAGCTGTACGGAGCAATTTGATGCTAATAACTTGTGTGTCTCTTGTACCATTGCTTAACGAGGTCACGGGTGGTTAGGGGAAAGCATTATCTAATTCAATGACATTACTGCGTGGACTTCATTTAGATCTAAAATCACGAAAACACTATCATGATAAAACAAGACCAAAATAAGCATTTACACGAAGACGACTTAAAAAATTAAAAAAAAAAAAATACAAGAAGAATAACACCAGGTGTTCCGGAAGGATGCGCCTCTTATGGTGCATTGACGTCTAAATCTTACATATACAAAAAGCAACGACCTTGACCTTGGGACCCTTAATGATGTAATTGTTTATGGGATATCATGCTGGATATAAGGTCGTCATGTTGATCTCACTGAGAAGTATTTTATGTCATCGTGCGATAAAAGTATTCCGTTGTTTATCTTTTTCTCATTTGGGAACGTGACACTACTTACTTGGATTGATCAAGGTTTACATGACGGATGTCGTCGATGGAGTAGAAGACGCTATCTCTTCCTGAACACATGGTCTTATTCTCATTGTACTCATTGAGTCTCTGTTTACCTTTTTCATATTTTGCTTTAGGTTTATGGAATTTGAGTTTGGATTGTGATTATGTTGTCATGTTGGTAGTTTCTTGTTGTTTTGTTCACTGCAGCTTTCAACTTTGTGATATCAGACATTATTGTACACGGTGTCATTAAGATACTGAAATATGTCAGTGCTTTCTGGAAGTCTAAACACACGTTATCTACATTAGTAAAATATCTTTCTGGTGAAGTATTAATTATGTATGGGTGTATAACGTGTTTACTGCGTGAAATATTACATACAGGTGTCAAAGTTCTTCGCAATCCAGATTCCGGCCTCTCTTACTGCCATTTTGTTTTTGTTGTTTTTTTTTCATTTGTTACAAATATAATTGAATACCAGACTTTCTGATCAAAACATCACTTGGAAGAGTACATAACCTTATCTTGGGTTTGTCCTCCCAACGTTTATTTTCCTGCTCAGTGATGTAGTATTATGCCATCACGTTTGGCTCATTCCTGTTCTGTTTTATCAACTGTGTTGTATCACATATAAGTACATTTTCAACAGAAACCAGATGAAGTAGTGCTAGCATCCTGAATGAAATGTAACCTAATGTGTTCAATACGTTGTGGCGTTGTGAAATGTACAATCTCATTTATCATGATAGTTATTCATTCAGATTATGTCGCCTTTTAACCAGGCATATTACTGTTATTATCATATTTCACTGTTGAAATTGTATAACGATTGTGGACAAATGTTTGCTGATATCATTGGATATCTTACAGCCTTATGTCATGTGTAATGACTGTTAGGTCCTTATTCAATTCGGCATTATAACGAATGGTGCATAGATAGTTGTTGAATGTCATCTATCGTCCGGCATAAGAACATGTTCAGTAGACAGTTCCGTGTAAGCCAATTAAAAAGTCATATTAAGTCTGGAATAAGATACACGCAGTCGTTCGTATGTTATACAGCAGTAAATTGTCATATATTGTCTAAAAGTGACACATTGAGTCGTTTGCATGTTGTAAGACTTAATTGTCTGAAAGTGACACATTGAGTCGTTTGCATGTTGTAAGACGTAATTGTCTGAAAGTGACACATTGAGTCGCTTGCATGTTGTAAGACGTAATTGTCTGAAAGTGATACATTGAGTCGTTTGTCATACGACATAATCGTCTAAAAGTGACACATTGAGTCGTTTGCATGTTGTAAGACTTAATTGTCTGAAAGTGACACATTGAGTCGTTTGCATATTGTAAGACGTAATTGTCTGTCTGAAAGTGACACATTGAGTCGTTTGTCATACGACATAATTGTCTAAAAGTGACACATTGAGTCGTTTGCATATTGTAAGACGTAATTGTCTGAAAGTGACACATTGAGTCGTTTGTCATAAGACATAATCGTCTAAAAGTGACACATTGAGTCGTTTGCATGTTGTAAGACTTAATTGTCTGAAAGTGACACATTGAGTCGTTTGTCATACGACATAATTGTCTGAAAGTGACACATTGAGTCGTTTGCATATTGTAAGACGTAATTGTCTGAAAGTGACACATTGATTAAGACATAATCGTCTAAAAGTGAAACATTGAGTCGTTTGAATGTTGTAAGACTTAATTGTCTGAAAGTGACAAATTGAGTCGTTTGCATGTTGTAAGACTTAATTGTCTGAAAGTGACACATTGAGTCGTTTGAATATTGTAAGACTTAATTGTCTGAAAGTGACACATTGAGTCGTTTGTCATACGACATAATTGTCTAAAAGTGACACATTGAGTCGTTTGCATGTTGTAAGACTTAATTGTCTGAAAGTGACACATTGAGTCGTTTGCATGTTGTAAGACATAATTGTCTAAAAGTGAGACATTGAGTCGTTTGCATGTTGTAAGACTTAATTATCTGAAAGTGACACATTGAGTCGTTTGAATATTGTAAGACTTAATTGTCTGAAAGTGACACATTGAGTCGTTTGCATATTGTAAGACATAATTGTCTGAAAGTGACACATTGAGTCGTTTGTCATACGACATAATTGTCTAAAAGTGACACATCGAGTCGTTTGCATGTTGTAAGACTTAATTGTCTGAAAGTGACACATTGAGTCGTTTGCATATTGTAAGACGTAATTGTCTGAAAGTGACACATTGAGTCGTTTGTCATACGACATAATCGTCTAAAAGTGACACATTGAGTCGTTTGCATGTTGTAAGACTTAATTGTCTGAAAGTGACACATTGAGTCGTTTGCATATTGTAAGACTTAATTATCTGAAAGTGACACATTGAGTCGTTTGCATATTGTAAGACATAATTGTCTGAAAGTGACACATTGAGTTGTTTGTCATACGACATAATTGTCTAAAAGTGACACATCTAGTCGTTTGAATGTTGTAAGACTTAATTGTCTGAAAGTGACGCATTGAGTCGTTTGCATGTTGTAAGACGTAATTGTCTGAAAGTGACACATTGAGTCGTTTGTCATACGACATAATCGTCTAAAAGTGACACATTGAGTCGTTTGAATATTGTAAGACGTAATTGTCTGAAAGTGATACATTGAGTCGTTTGTCATACGACATAATCGTCTAAAAGTGACACATTGAGTCGTTTGTCATACGACATAATTGTCTAAAAGTGACACATTGAGTCGTTTGCATGTTGTAAGACTTAATTGTCTGAAAGTGACACATTGAGTCGTTTGCATATTGTAAGACTTAATTTTCTGAAAGTGACACATTGAGTCGTTTGCATATTGAAAGACATAATTGTCTGAAAGTGACACATTGAGTCGTTTGTCATACGACATAATTGTCTAAAAGTGACACATCTAGTCGTTTGCATATTGAAAGACGTAATTGTCTGAAAGTGACACATTGAGTCGTTTGTCATACGACATAATCGTCTAAAAGTGACACATTGAGTCGTTTGCATGTTGTAAGACTTAATTGTCTGAAAGTGACACATTGAGTCGTTTGCATATTCTAAGACTTAATTGTCTGAAAGTGACACATTGAGTCGTTTGCATATTGTAAGACATAATTGTCTGAAAGTGACACATTGAGTCGTTTGTCATACGACATAATTGTCTAAAAGTGACACATCGAGTCGTTTGCATGTTGTAAGACTTAATTGTCTGAAAGTGACACATTGAGTCGTTTGCATGTTGTAAGACATAAT